CTTTACGCTCCTCAGAAAGCCGCTCCTGTTCACACTGTCCAAAGATGATTCCCTCTGGCCTTGCCGCAAAACGCAGGATGACACACGTGAAGATCATGATTTCTGCGGTAAGGCGTCCAGCGTTGTCTAGATGTCTCCGCCTAATGCGACATGTTGTCCGAAGGCGTGACGTCACGGCTTCGCGCCCTACCCGTCGCTTCCCTCACGGCATGTGGATTGACTATTCGTGACTTTGAGCGTCACGTAACATCTCCGTCTGCAAGCCTCAACACGGCCATCCTTGCGCATTCTTCGAATTGGTGCTGTCGATGGTCTCGCCCAGGCTCGTACGTGGAGCTTTCGACGAGGCGGGACAGGACCAGATCGAAGGACGCCATTCTGTAAGCCTCCCGGATCTGCTCCGCCTCGGGCTCGCTGCCCGATGGCTCGAAGATGCGCCTGATCTTCTCCCGGTCGGCCTCGCCTTGTCGACCAGACGCCAACGAGATGTGGTTGACGGCCTTGGGCCGGATGTGCAGGCCGAGCTCCGCCAGGGAGCGCTCTCCGAGCTTCCGGGAGAGCCTGGAGATTGCGGGGGCCGTCATGTCGAAGAGCACGTAGCCTGTCGGCGTGCATATGACGTCGCCTACCTTGACGCGCTCTGACGTCGCCTGCAGCTCCGACTGGAGCAGCTCGTGGAGCAGTCTCTGGAGCGGCCCCAGTTGTGACCGCGTCGCGTCAAAGAAGCCGGTGACGGAGACGTGCAGCGGATACAGGTGCGTGCGGTCCATGCCCATCACCGAGGCGCACTCGGCCCTCTTGTCGTACAGGGCCTTTGCGAAAGCCGAGCCCAGGGACGGCTGCAGGTTGACCAGATATTGCTGCGAGATCTCCTCGCCCGCGGCGTCGTGCGCGCCGCCAGCACACAGGTCTGACCCAGGGCCGCCCTCATAGGGGAACGAACAATTGCACAAGCCTGCCAACTCGGAGGTCCGCGCGGATCTCTCGGATCGGCGCTGCCCCCCCCCCCCCCCCCCGGCGGCGCCCCCGGCGCCGCCCCTGGCGCGCCGCTCCGCGCGCCTCCGGGAGGGGGGTCCGGCGCCGACCCGAGGAGCCGGCGCGGAGCTCCGAGCTTTCGTGCTGTTTTGTGCCCTTGCCCCAGGGGAAAAAGGGCTATGCGCATACACCGAGTCTGGCCAGACCCATCCTGAGCCCAGGATCGGTGCATATGTGCCCTCCTGCCCTGGCCAGGAAGGCATATGCACCGATCCTGGGTCCAGGACGGGCGTTGTCAGGAGCGGTGCATGTGCATAATTCTCTTCGCCCGATGCCCGACCCCCTGCCCGAGCCTGGCTCGCGGCGGCAGGCGGGAGCTCCACGCGGGGGAGCTGCGGGCACTCGGTGCCGGGCGGCCGTGCGGGCCGCGCCGCGGGGCTGTGCCGGGACTTGGGCCGCCCCTTGCTCGGCCGCTGCCGGAGGAGCGCAGAGCACCGCACAGGGCATGCCAAGTGGCGGAGGTCCGCGCGGAGTGCTCGCAGCCTGGCGCCTCCATCTTTATTCGAGCCGGGGCGTTTGCGCCTCCTCTCGGCCCCTGGGGCCCTCACAGGCCGATGCGGCTCGCGGTTTCGCCTTCGCTCGGCCCCCCGGGACCCTCACAGGCCGATGCGGCTCGAACGATGACGCAGAAAGACGGGGTCCGGGGTTCCAGGGCACGATTTCTCACGGCGTCTCAACTTTTTGAGACGTCGGATCTCAGGGCACCCGCGCTGGACCCCCCCTGCGGGCAAGACTTCTCTCCGCGGCCACTGCGTCCAGGAGTTTCTGGCGAGGGGCGCCAAGAGGCCGAGGGGCAGCGGACATGGACAGACATCGAGCCTCTGAGGGTCAGACGTTTTTATGCCCAGATCCACTGCGCTTCTGGTCTCTGGGGAGGGGAGCCCGGGACTCCAGGACGCAACGGCCATGGATACAACCCTTGCCCGCAGCCCCTCCCTGGAGCGCGGAGCGCGCCAGGGGCGGCGCCAGAGGCGCCGCCAGATTGGGGCCCTAGCGCAGATCCAAGAGAGATCCGCGCGGACCGCCAAGTGACCGTTCTCTTCTTCGGCGTGGCGACACTGTCGGGGATGGACAGACCCCCCTTTAGTAAAACGTGGTTTAGTGAAAACGACCTGAGGCCCAAACCTGCCGGGCGCAAGCCTGGAAAATAACGGCCGCGGCGCCCTCTCGAGAACCGAAAACGGACAATTCACTAATCGACGTGTCAGGGTAGGAGGTCTGTCCACCCCCGAGAGAGATCCGCGCGGACCGCCAAGTGACCGTTCTCTTCTTGGACGTGGCGACACTGGGCGGAAGGGGGGGGGGGGGGGCGGGTGCTGGCTCCGGACCTCCGCTCCGTGCACGATTGCCTGCAGGAGTGCGCCCTGTGAATGGGGAGACTCCGGGCGCCTGCAACAGGCACCCCAAAAGCAACCAAGGTCTACCCCACGAGGGCGGGGGAGGGGAACGGGGGTGCGAAGACCCGCGCCGATCGGCACGACAATGAATCAGACATCGAGGACCAACAATCTTTATGCTTGTGCCGTGTTCTGCTCCTCAAGCTTCGTGGACGCGTCCTGGGAAGCCAAGAGGCACCGATACCGCTGCTCCTCAGACCTCTCCTGGGATGAGCTCTACGACCAGTATTCCAAGGCGCATATCCAACGGTGGCGACGAGGGCCTCCGAGAGAAGGCCCAACATCGGGAACAGGGGCGAAGGGCCCAGGGACCCCCGACGTCATGATTTCTTCATGACGTTGAGGTATGGACCCATTCCCCGGGACCAATCTCTCATCCTGAGTCGTGTTCTGACGGTCCAGAGGCCCGGCGAGGGTCCCCGAAGGTCGAACATAGCGAATAACCTTCCGTCATGAATATTTCATGACTCGAGGGGGTGCGGGGGTAGCGGTATGGGTACCTTTTCCTCTTCTGACGTCCAGGGCGGGCGCCTCCTCCTCGTCGTCCTCGCCCGCGTCCTCGATCGTCGGCATGCTGCTGCGGCCCAGCTCGAAAGCCAGGGGCGCGATGTGGCGGTGCGCGCACTCGTCCCGCTGCTCCTCGTACTCCTGGCGGCGAGCGAGGGAGGGCAGGTGACCAGGGCTCGAACTCGGTCCTATCCCCAGAGATCCGACGCTCCAAAACAATTGGAGCGGCCGGTTTCTGGCCGTTTTCGGCCTCCGGGGGGCCCTCGCCAGGCTGCGGGACCGTCGAGAAACAACTCAGGACGTAGAACCGGCCCTTCGGAAGTGGTCCAGACCTCCAAGGGCCACGCATCAAAAAGACTGGAGCAGCCGGATGTCTACTCAGCGGCGAGCGAGGGTGGACAACGTGAAGGAGAAGGTCTTTTCAGAATGCGGCGGGGCTTCTCAGAGGCCTCCCTGGCCTTCCGAAAAGTTTTTGCTTGTCTTCGGGCAACTAAGGCTCAGGAAGCTTCTCAGAAGGCCCAGGGACTTCCGAGCCTCCTGAGAAGGCCCGCCCCTTCTCACTTCCCCCCCTCGCTCGACGCCGATACTCCGTGGAAGGGGCCCATGGACGCACCAATAAACAGGCACAGATCCCAGGGATGCCCCCCATATGTTCCCATGTTCTCCTGGACTTGCGTTTTCCTCTTGGTCAGTTCGCTATTGCCCATGTGTTCAATGGAATCGACGCTTATTTGCGTCTGTGTGCCTTTTTCCTTCATGATCCTTGGCGGCCGCCAGGAGCGACACCTTGACGTTCTCGGTGGCGTGGTAGCGGATCTGCTCCGCGTCTCGTTCGAACTTGAGCCTGTCCTATGGGACGCACAACACGGAGGCGCGTCCACCTCGGAGGCGTGTGCACCTCGGAGGCGTGTCCTATCGTCGAACGTGTCCACCTCGGAGGCGTGCGTGCGACCCGAACACATAGCACACAACTCTTGAAGCATGCCGTATCCCGAGCGGTACGGCTAGAAAGCGCCCACCACCACGCATAGGCTATAGGATTTCTTGGTGCGCGCGTCGCCCTTGAGGGGGGGCGACGCGCACATAGCAGTAGTACAGTAGGGGCCGCCCACAAGAAACATTCCACACAAAAAACTCAACCCTGAGACCACAGGCCGTCCGTCGATTTTTGGTGTGGGAACGTCACGCTTCCCATTGCAAAACCATCGAAACCCAAGGAACCCAGGGCACCCTGTGGGCAAGCAGGGTGTTTCTTGGCATGGGCCCCCCACTGTGTAGAGGCTGTGCGGAGGAAGAGGAGGACGAGGAGGAGGAGGAGGAGGAGGAGGAGGAGGAGAAGGAGGAGGAGAGGAGAGGAGGAGGAGGAGGAGATGGGGAGGAGGAGGAGATGGGGGAGGAGGAGGAGGAGATGGGGGAGGAGGAGCAGGAGCAGGAGGAGAAGGAGGAGGAGGAGGAGGAGGAGGAGGAGGGGGAGGGGGAGGAGGAGGAGGAGCAGGAGGAGGAGGAGGAGGAGGAGGAGGAGGAGGAGGAGGACGAGGACGAGGTGGAGGAGGAGCAGGAGGAGGAGGAGGAGGAGGAGGAGGAGCTGGGGCGACGCCGATCCTGTTTCAAGGTCTCCATCAGCGTGCTCACCTCGACGCCGCGGCCGTCCTCTCGGCACACGGAGCCGGAGTTCACCCGCAGCTGCATGTGGAGGGTGGCGTACTGCGTCCTCACCGGGTAGTGGAACCCGGCAGAGATCTGCGCGCTGGCCATGAAGTTCTCGTCGAACAGGCTCCGCAAGAAGCGCTGCACGCCCTCCTGCAGCTGGCTCAGCATGTCGACGTGCTCCTTCGTGTAGAGGTCGCGGTAGGTGTGCAAATACTTCTCCGGCTTGGGCACGTCGCTGAAGCGGAAGTCCCCCGGGGAGCCCACGGGCATGCCCGCCTCCCCCTGGGCCGGGTCCTTGCGTGCTTCTCCGACAGTGGACGCCTTGGCGGCCTCCTCCCTAACCTCCTTCGGCTGGGCCACGTCCTTGGGAGTCCTCCTCTTGGCATGAAGCAAGCGAAGATGATGATGATGATGATGATGATGATGATGATGATGATGATGATGATGATGATGATGATGATGATGATGATGATGATGAGGAGGAGGAGGAGGAGGAGGAGGAGGAGGAGGAGGAAGAGGAGGATCTCCGCAGGGGCTAGATAGGATAGCGCACGAGGCCAACGTGGAGGAGGAGGAGGAGGAGGAGGAGGAGGAGGAGGAGGAGAAGGAGGAGGAGGAGTAGGAGGAGGAGGAGGAGGAGCCAAGGGGATACGGCAGAAAAGCAGGGGCAGGAGCATGACCATACTCAGGATACGGATGGTGGGGAGGGGGGAGAAGGAGGAGGAGGAGGAGGAGGAGGAGGAGGAGGAGGAGGAGGAGGAGAAGAAGGAGAAGGAGGAGGAGTCCTGAACCACTGGGTCTCCCCCAGGACCGACCTGAGCCGTCTTCAAGCCTCCCCGGGGCCCCTGGAAGGCCCAGGGCGGGCAGAAGCGGCGAGAAACCCTAGTGCCCATGAGCATCGTTCACCGAGCCCTATCCCCACTGGCGTGGCCTGGGCCCCATTGGCCGATGTACCCCCCCCCTAGATGGGGATAGAGGCTGTTCCCTTCGGGTTTCGAGAGGTATGTCCCCAACCGGGGTGGTGGGATGGTGGGGCTCGGGATGGGGATGGCGATAGGGATCAATGAAGCGATGCTGAACCCATCTCGCGCTGGATCCGCTTGCTAACATGACGATCCTATCTCCGCCCGACGCCTGGTGCACAGGCTCGCAGCTGGACTCCCTTGCCTCGCTCGCGGGGGCCGCCTTATCTGGGGAAGCCAAAAGACACCGATACCGATACTCCCCCGGCCTCTCCTGGGGTGCGCTCTGACCCGAACTTCGAAGCGGATCCAGCCGTGGCGACGAGGGTCTCCGAAGAGGCCGCAAAAGGCGAAAACGAGAGAACATCTTGGGAGCGAAACGACACAGGCCCGGAGAAAGGTAGCGCTATGTTGGTACAGTAGACACATGCGGTCAACAGTCTTGCTTTAAGAGATCTTGTGGCACATTCTTCGTCAAGATTTGAGCCTCCTGAAGGAGGAGGAGGAGGAGGAGGAGGAGGAGGAGGAGGAGGAGGAGGAGGAGGAGGGAGGAGGAGGAGGAGGAGGAGGAGGAGGAGGAGGAGGATGGAGGATGGAGGATGGAGGAGAAGGATGGAGGATGGAGGAGGAGGATGGAGGAGGAGGAGGAGGAGGAGGTTCCCCGTGGGCCCCCAAGGCCGTTGGGGAACAAGAGGCCTCAGCGGGGCACCTGCTGGCCACAGGCCGAGCTCCCATCCGACGTGCCTTGCTGCGTCGCCTCCTCCGACGCCGCGGCAACGCACACAGCGTCGGAGAAGCTCGGCCGGAGCCCTCCGACGTCGCGCAAAGGACGCGGCGTCGCGACGTCGCGCGAAAACACGCCGCGCGTCTTTGACGAGCCAACAACTAGGGAGCCCACAAAGGATGTACGCGCCCAGCTATGTACATGAACACGGCCCCTCGATTCGCGAGACCGGCCGCGTTATACGAACATTTGTGCAATGCGTGCTCTCGAAAGCAGCGTGGATTCATGCACATGTACGTCCTTCTTTCGCTCCTGAACAACACACACCCATACCCATAGGGGGGTCGGAGAGGGCTATGGGTGCGTGTTGTCGAATGGGGGTCCCCGCTCGAACGGGAGCGTTCCCCAGGGTCCGACAACCCGCACCCATACCCATAGCCAGTCCTCCTCCCAACGACCCCCCTATGGGTATGGGTGTGTGTTGTTCGTTCGTGATGTCTTGTCCCTACGCTGTCGCGAGAAGCTCGACCGGAGCCCTGGACCCCATGCTGCTGCCGCACAGCCGGACCGGCCTGCGAGGGCCCAGGGGCCCGAAAGAAGGCTCGGCGGCGAGCCCGGGGTGCAAGAGAGGAGGGGCGGGTCTTCTCACGAGGCTCGGATGCGCTGGTGGCTCCTGAGATGTTTTCTAAGCCTTCCCCGAAGACGCAGAGAATTTCTCAGAGGGCCAGAAGGCTTCTGAGAAGCCCTGCCGCCTTCAGACAAGGCCTTCTCCTTCTCACTTCCCCCCCTTGCTCGCCGCCGACGAACGGGAGAGCACGGAGCATGCACGGAACAGGTGTCGCCCACGAGGAGCTGGAGGAGGAGGAGGAGAAGGAGGAGAAGGGGGAGGAGGAGGAGGAGAAGGGAAGAAGAAGGAGGAGGAGGAGGAGGTGGAGGAGGAGGTGGAGGAGGAGGAAAGAGGGAGGAAGAGGGAGGAGGAGGAGGAGGAGGAGGAGGAGGAGGAGGAGGAGGACTCGGCCCGCCCAGCACCGTGCGAAAGCACGGCGGCGCCCAGGATCTCAGGGCAAGTCGGTCTCGCATGTCGTTTGGCTCCCCTGGCCTTCTCCGCGGCCGCCGCCTTCTCGGCCGCCGCCGCCTGCCGGGTCGGACGAGCCTTGGGTCGGTCATGCCCTCCAGGCGGATTTCTGGGAACAAGAGCTCCGAACAAGGGAGCATGATCAAGCACAGCGACGACAAGCACGGCACATCGCCCCCAGACCATCTCGACTAGCATTGCGAGGATTCCTCCTTCGAGGGGCGTGCCCCGACTCAAGGTTCGCGACTCTAGCAAAAGGGAGAATACTATTGTGATGTTCCGACCTTTGGCCTTGATCACCTGAAAGAGCTAGAAGACGACAGCGCGGCACAAACATAAACTGTTGGCGCTCCGCGCGGATTTCTTGGATCTGCGCTGAAAACCCCTGGCGCGCTCCGCGCGCCAGGGGCGGCGCTGGAGGCGCCGCCGGGGGGTCCCAGCGCAGATCCAAGAAATCCGCGTGGAGCGCCAACGGTTTATGTTTGTGCCGGTTGTTCTTCTACGAAGAATTTCCAGCACCAGGAAAGTACCGAAACTTGAGGGTGTTCACGTGTCAAGCCTTGGGAGGCGACTGTCGTTCGACACTTCGCCAGCGTGCCAGGCAGATACTGCTTTGATACCATTCTGGGTGCTCGACATTTTTTCTGGGATGTGGTCCCGAAAAGCCATGGGAACACCATCATATTACTCTGGGTAACATAGGAATCGCCCCTCCTTTGGGTTCAGGGGGGGGATGGGCGCGTGCTGTCGGGGGGGGGATGGCAGTTTCAAAGCTGAAATGTTGGACGCTCTGTCGGCAAGTTAGTTGCCCCTCCGTCGATTAGTATGCCATCCGGAATAGCTCGCGTAGCTAACTTCTCTGGTGCCTCCTGGCGCCAGAGGCGCCAATGTATCGAGGAAGGCGCCCGGCAGCGGAGCCGCAACCAGCTGCGTGCAGCAGATTTCGTAACCCTCTTGGGGCTCCTGGGGCAATTGTGTGGAGGCTGTCGATCAAAGAGGGGGGGGTGCTTAACTGGCGCCACCTCCTCTTAGAAGGCCAGCATTGCCCTAAGAACTGGGGAAATCAATGATCAGTGCCTTCTGACGCCATCTTGGACGCTCTGACCCCTCCCCGCAACCCCGTCCAGACCCAGGGTGAGGGGGTAGGAGTCAAGCTACCCCCACCTAACGACGACCGTGCTGCTCACTCCCACCTGCTCTCTCAGAGTGGGCAAGGGCCGCGATCGACCATCATCGGGAACCAATGCAGACGCCAACCATGTGCGCCACGCCAGCGAGGCGCGCCGCTCGTGCCAGGGCACCCCCACCACCCCTGTCAAATGACCATGCAAAAGTATCGCGGGGCGCCCACGCATGATTATTGCCATAACTTGTGCTTAGTATGGTTCTTTGACAACGATGATGGGCCTTCGCGCAGCAGACGATATCCTGGCACCCCCCCGTCCCTGACACTAAACATGGAAAATCATCGCAGGGCGCCCGCGCATGATCCAGATTTATCCGCAACGTGCAGTTCGCATGGTCTTTTAAAACCAGGATGGCATGTGTGCGCGTGCGTGCGCGCGTGTGTGTGTGTGTGTGTGTGTGTGTGTGTGTGTGTGTGTGTGTGTGTGCGTGCGTGCGTGCGTGCGTGCGTGCGTGCGTGTGTGTGTGTGTGTGTGTGTGTGTGTGTGTGTGTGTCATGGTTCCCGGTTTGCCCCCGGTCGAGTGGGGGAGGAGGTGTACATGAATAAAGAAGAATGATTAACCCCTCCACGAAGGGGAAGAAGCGGAAGAGGAAACACCAGAAAACCACCTACGCCCTAAAGGGCTCGTGGGACTCTGCCTAGGTGCGCAATTGGAACTGTTCGGTAAAGTGGGGATGATGTGAGGAATGAGGAGGCGAAGGAGCATGCTACCACCCCATAACCCCTTCTCGCTCTCAATCTTCCTGTCCTTGCATCCCGCTTTCTCTCGCCTTACCAACCTCACCACTGTCAAGATGGCCCCCTCTTCTTTCTGGCTGTCCCAAAACGGGGGTCCATCGACAAAGGGGTGGTGCAATAGATTTGGTGCAATAGATCTGGGGTGCGCAATACATTCCGGAGCGCAGATGTATTGCTTGATTTTCGCGTGCAATGCATTATTTGCAATACCATGCAATGCCATTCTCTGGCGCACTACACTTGCAATACAACCGCCTCAAATCTATTGCACCACCCCCTTTCAGCCGGACCCCCTCTTAGGACACGAGGATTCCCAGACCCCCGACGTCGTGACTTCTTCACAACGTCGACCCCCAAATGCCTGGACCCCTTCCGGGGACCAGTTTCCCATCCATGAGTCGTCTTGTGACGGTCCCGGGGCCCGGCCAGGGCCCCCCCCCCGAGGCCGAAGGTGTGGCAACGCCTCACGTCGTGGTCTTCCCCACGCGAAGGCGTCCGGGCTCTTTGCCGCCGAGAGTCTGGGCCATCCCTGCCCCCCCTCCCCCGCCCCCGTCCGACGCGAGCCTTCTCGGCCGCCGCCTTCTCCACCGCCGCGCGCGGCTTCTCGTGCCGGGCGCGCGCCTCGCGGCCCTGCTCCAGGCGCTCGGGGTCCATGCCCTCGTAGGTGAAGTGGTTGAACCTGCCGCGGAGGCGGGCCCACAGGAGACCTTCCGCAAGGCACCCGACCCCGAGAGCCCAGGGCGCCCATTTTTGATGTCTGGCGCGGGCGCGTCGCGCTTTTTTCACACCGCAGGGCCATCGAGAAACCCAAGAGGCCCAGGGCACCCTGAAGGCAGGCAGGGCACTTCGTGGCACGAGCTTCCACTTCAGAGGCACGAGCGGAACCCTTCGGAGGTCCGCGCCCAGACAATGCTCGCGCCGCGGCACGAGAATATCGCGGCGCGCGGCTGCTCTGCGGCTGCTTTTGCCCGGCCTCCACGGGGCCCTCTCGCCGGGCCCCTGGGAGCCACAGAGAAAACGGCTCCGGACGCACAGCTGGCCCTGGGGATCGCTCGGATGTGTGCAGCTTTCCCGGCATGGGCCTCCACTGTACGGGGGCCCCAAGCACCACGACGTGTTTGCGTCGTGGGCAAAAGTCGCGACGGGCGGCCTTTGGCCGTTTTCTTGGCCTCTGGGGCCCTCGGCGGGCCCTGGGGCCGTCAGGGAAGACGGCACGGGGAGGCAAACGCCGGAACTGCGAAAGGGTAGGGACCTCGGGCCCCCCCCGCATTCAAGAAAACAAGATGGTAGAGCTTGGGGGTGCACACGGACAAGCTCGCCCAAGCCCCGGCTGGCCTCGGCATGCCCCCCGAATACTGTAGCCCCAGCTGGCCTCACCAGGCCATTCCGGCTGGCCTCAACAGGCCCCCCGAGGTAGTCCCAGCTGGCCTCGACAGGTCCCCCGAGGCAGTCCCAGCGTGCCTCAGCAGGCCCCCCCGAGGCAGCCCCGGCTGGCCTCGGCAGGCCTCCCGAGTAGTCCGAGGCGGCCTCGACACCCTGGCGCCGCCTCCCGCGGCGCCCCCCGCGCCTCGCGCACCGAGGGTTGAGGCACTGAGACCGCCCTGGGCTACGCAGGGGGGCCTGTTGGGGCCAGCTGGACAGCCGGCCCGTAGCATGGGGATGCGCGACAAGGACAAGAGGGCCCCTGACGCCCACTTCGAAGCTGTTCGAGCAGGGCGCGGCCTGCGACAGTGGCCAAGGATGGACCGAGGAGGCAAGCGTGCAGGGGTACCCTTCGGAAGGTTGCCCGTCCTTGCCATGCGGGCTGACTGTGCTCGGGGGGGCCTGTTGAGGCCAGCCGGGACTACCTGGGGGGGGGCTCGTCTGCGCGCAACCCGAAGCCTCACTGGCTCTGTACTTGGGGCCCGCCTTTGCTCAGAAAGGCCGAGTGGACTTTGGCCGAGCGGGTGCGGGTCCCAAAGACCCAGCCCGAAAGGACTTGAAGCTTTGTGTCGCACCCCTGCTCAGAAGATGTAGCAGAGCAGTGGCTCAACGGGTGCGGGTCTCTGAGACGTTGCCCCGAGGACCACTCGCGGAGCTGCGGGACGAAGCGCGGGTGGATCCACCATGCTACAAACCTGCAAGAAGAACCAGCTGGTGGGCGTTCTTCTATTCGGCGTTTCGACGACATTGGGCGGAAAGGAAGGGGGAGGGGGGGTCTGGCTCCAGACCTCTTCTTGGTGCGACTGTTTGCAAGAGTGCTGCCTCTGGGGGAGACTCCACCCACTCGAAACGGGCGCCAAGAAGCAGCCCAAATCTGCTCCATGTGGGGGGGGAGGGGGGGATTTGGGCCCGCGCCGATCGGCGAAACAGTGGATGGAAAAACGCTCACTGCACAAACAGAAGCTGTCGGAGGTCCGCGCGGACTTCTCGGATCGGCGCGGGGCCCCCTCCCTGGCGGGCAGAGCGCGCAACGGGGGCGGCGACAGCGGCGCCGCCGCCGGGGCTGCCCGGCGCCAGTTCAAGAGGCTCGCGCGGCCCTCCGAACATTACTGTCTATTTTTTCATTTCTCGCCATCGCCCAGACGTCCATTCCCTGTGCATTTCTCGACTTCGTGCGTGTATTATTTGTTCGTTCCAGAATCCAAGATTCTGCTCCTGGATGGCCCTCGCCGAAAACAACTATGCAAACGTCCGAGCGATGCCAAATCTTTATCTTTTCCGATCGCCGAAACTTGCCGGTCTCCTTCGACAGGAGCCCCTTCCGGTTGTCCACCTGGGCGGCAAAAAGAAACTGATGGGCCAAGTTTCCACCACTGCTGCCATAGGTAGGACGGGGGAGAAGGATGGAGAGGTTCTCCTCCTCTTCCTTTTGACGTTAGCCATACATAAGCACCGAGGCTTTTGCGTTGCTCCTCCTATCCCCCTCCCCCTCCCCCTCCCCCTCCTCCTCCTCCTCTTCTCCTCTTCTCCTCTTCTCCTCTTCTCCTCTTCTCCTCTTCTCCTCTTCTCCTCTTCTCCTCTCCTCTTCTCCTCTTCTCCTCCTCCTCCTCCTCCTCCTCCTCACCCTCTCCTGCCAGCGGTGGTGGAAACTCGGCCCAGCAGAAACGGGCCTCACGCGCGGTGGTACAGCGACCTTACGCGGCAGCTTGCGCGGGCCGCCAGCGCGGCACGCCACCTTGGAGAAGAGGTCGCTTGCGCGCGACCTTTGCACGGGATGCTTACGCGCCAATGCCCGCGCAGCCGGCCCCCGTGCTTCTCCCGTCGCTCACCTGGCTGTGGTACTTCGGGTTTGGCATGATGAAGAACCAACCGCAGGCCGTGTGGATGATTGTCGCGAGCTTGGCGGCGACGCTCTGCTTTGCGTACAGCGAAGAGCCGCGGATGAGGCCCATGACGACGTTGCTCACGGGCCGCGCCGCGTAGAACGGCCGCAGCACCAGCTTGTGGAACTCGGGCAGCTGCCTTATGCTGTACACGTCCGACGGCATCGAGAGGACCCGGTTGATGCCAAAGTTGACGTCGTCCAGCTCCGAAGAGCCTGCCAGCGACAGCGAGAACGACGAGAACCGGTGATCCTTCTTGGGCACTTCCTCTCGCGAGCGGCGAACACACCCCGCACTCGCGCCCTCGCGGCCCGGGCTCCGGGGCACGCCCCCCGTGCACGCGCGGTCGCACAGGCGCGCTCCGCGAGGGGGCAGCCGCGAGGGAGGCTCCCCGCATCCCGGGGGGGCCGCGGCCCGAGGGCCCCGCCCGCGACGGCCGTGGGGATGCGGATTTGTGCCCTCCGCCCACCCTCGCCGTCGCTCGGACGTCCATTCCCTGTGCTTTTTGTCGGTTTCGTGCGTGGTTCTGTCGCCAAGTGATCCAGGATGCTCCTCGATGGTCCTCGCCGACGGAAACGTGCGCACGTCCGAGCGATGCCAAGCCACCCCAGACATGCGATGCCATGATGTTGTCCGCTGCCAGGGGGGCACATGCGAACCCCACCCCTACCCCCCGCGATTTCTGAGGGGGCGGGGGTAGGGTTCGCATGTGACCCCCTAGCTGCGGAGTCCCCTGACGTCCCGACCCGTTCCCCAGGGCCGCCTTGGCACCCCGAGTCGTGCCCCGACGATGGCCCGGCGAGGGCCTCCCGGGGGCGCAGACGGCCGAGAAGCACCGACCGCGAGATGCTTTCGCGGCGCGAGCATGCCTGGGACGATCCTCCAGTATCTGCTTCTTCTCCTCCAGCGGGACGGCATCCCCGCCGCCCGCTTCCCCAGCGGTCGGGTTGTCCACGTTCACGAGCATCTCCTCCTCGCTCTCAGCGCCGGCGTCGCATGCGTCCTCCTCGTCCTCGGCCGCCGCGTCCTCCTGATCCGGCCGAGCGACAATTTCGGTTGGCGAATCAGGCCTTAAAGATGGGGACCTGCACGAGGGGAAGAGATGGATAAACAAGTTGAACCTTCGCTGTGTGAGGTTCTCGTCCTGGGGCCCCATCTTCGAATCACCGACCCATGCATCGAGTGAAAGAGCTTGTGGCGGAGCCGAAACCAGCTGCACGCAGGAGATTTCGTACACCCCTTTTGGGCGTTCCAAAACTGTACGGTGACAGTCCGTGCAATGACAGATCCCCAGAGATCGCACCACATTGTCCGTCACCGCGCAGTTTTGAAACCCTGGAGGCCCCAGTCGCCTGGGACGTCCTCGGAGAACAACGCAATTCCCAAAACCGTGCGGTCACCCCGAATCCCCACTGAATCACCACACGGTGTGATCACCGCACCCTTCCCAGACATGATTGGTTCAATACGGAACCTCAAGAAATCCACAACCTTTCTCCGGGGCCGGTTCTGCATCCCGATTCGTTCTCTGACGATCCTGAATCCTGGCCAGGACCCCCAAAGGCCGAAACGGCCAAAACCTCCCGTCGTGTTTTCTTTCACGACGCGAGCATGTCTGGTTGCCGAGGACCCCGAAGGTGTCGCACGCCGAAGGTCACTCAATCCGGATCCGTTTGCCATGGCGCCGAGGCACAACAGCGACCCCCAGAGGCCGACATCGAGGAAAAAACGCTGGTTGAAAATGGCGCCGAGGCACAGCAACGACCCCCAGAGGCCGACATCGAGGAAAAAACGCTGGTTCAAAAGATCACACGCTCCGAAGTCGAAGAGCAGACAGCGCACACATACAACCGGTCGGAGGTCCGCGCGGATTTCTGCGAGCGGCGCTGGACCACCCTCCCTGGCGCGCAGAGCGCCCCAGGGGCCGTTCCGGTCTGGGTGCTCTCCGACCCGCTCCTCCCCTGAGATCTTGGCGCTGCATTTTGTTCACAACATCGGCGGTGGAGAAACCTCCCATCAGTACACCTCCACTGAGTGAGAACGGCCCATGTCCGAAACCGACGGGCCCAGACCCGCAAAGATGACGGCCGCGACGCCCTCTCGCGAACCGACAAGGGCCAATGCGTTCATCGACGTGCCAGGGTAGGAGATCGATCGACCTCCGACACATCAGGCGTTTCCGCCCGGTCTCCACGCTGGGGCCCTCGCAGAGCGATCCGGCTCCAAGAATGACGCAGAGCGACGGGGCCTGGGACTCCGGTGGCGAGTGATGCTCTGCGAGGTTGCACTTTCGGGGCAGCGTCAGACCCGGACCGCCGCTGCCCTGCTCTTCTCATGGCGTCGACCCCTCGGGGGCGGCCAAGAAGGGGGGGCGTCCAAGAAGGGGGGGCGCAAATCGTGGCCGGCGGCACGTGCGCGGCCCAGGGGGGGGGGGGGCCTGGGACGTAATGACATAAAAAGAGGCGTCATGGAATCGAAGGAAACATCATGGCCCACGCCATGACATCCACCCCCCCCTGGTCATCACCCCCCTCTTGGCCGCCCCCGAACCCCCAGAGGTCTGGACCCCTTCCCCGGGACCGGTTTCTCGTCCTGAGTCGTTTTTGGATGCTCCCAAGGCCCGGTAAGGGCGCCCCGAGACCGAAAACTGTGACAAACCTCCGGCCGTGATTTTTTCACGACGCGAGGGGGTCTGTCTTCTTTTTCCCAACCCTCCTTGGTTGGGCATTCGTTTTGAATAGAGGGGTGTGGTCGCGTCCCTCCTCCTCCTCCTCCTCCTCCTCCTCCCGCTTCCCGCCTCCTCCTGCCCTCTCTTCGCCGACGATGGGGGCTGCGATCTGCGAACCGGTCGCAATTTTCGACGGCTGCTGGTGGGTCCTGCGCAGTGAGGCACCGCGCGGATCTGAGCGAGACCTCGCCGTCCCTGGGGGGCTGCGATCTGCGAAACTGTCCCAACTTTCGAGGGCTGCTGGTGGGTCCTGCGCAGTGAGGCACCGCGCGGATCTGAGCGAGACCTCGCCGTCCCTGGGGGCTGCGATCTGCGAAACTGTCGCCACTTTCGAGGGCTGCTGGTGGGTCCTGCGGAGTGAGGCACCGCGCGGATCTGAGCGAGACCTCGCCGTCCCTGGGGGGCTGCGATCTGCGAAACAGTCGCCATTTTCGAGGGCTGCCGGTGGGTCCTGCGGAGTGAGCCACCGCGCCGATCTGAGCGAGACCTCGCCGTCCCTGGGGGGCTGCGGTCTGCGAGCTGTCGCCACTTTCGAGGGCTGCTGGTGGGTCCAACGGAGTGAGGCACCGCGCGGATCTGAGCGAGACCTCGCCGTCCCTGGGGGGCTGTGAACTGCGAAACTGTCGCCGCTTTCGAGAACTGCTGGTGGGGCCTGCGGAGTGAGGCACCGCGCGGATCTGAGCGAGACCTCGCCGTACCTGGGGGGCTGCGATCTGCGAAACTGTCGCCGCTTCCGACGGCTGCTGGTGGGCCCTGCGGAGTGAGGCACCGCGCCGATCTGAGCGAGACCTCGCCGTCCCTGGGGGGCTGCGATCTGCGAAACTGTCGCCACTTTCGAGGGCTGCTGGTGGGTCCTGCGGAGTGAGGCACCGCGCGGATCTGAGCGAGACCTCGCCGTCCCTGGGGGGCTGCGATCTGCAAAACGGTCGCCATTTTCGAGGGCTGCTGGTGGGTCCTGCGGAGTGAGTCACCGCGCGGATCTGAGCGGGACCTCGCCGTCCCTGGGTGGCTGCAATCTGCGAAAACGTCGCCACGTTCGCAAGCTGCTCGTGAGTCCTGCGGAGTGAGGCACCGCGCCGATCTGAGCGAGACCTCGCCGTCCCTGGGGGGCTGCGATCTGCGAAACTGTCGCCACTTTCGAGGGCTGCTGGTGGGGCCTGCGGAGTGAGGCACCGCGCAGATCTGAGCGGGACCTCGCCGTCCCTGGGGGGCTGCGGTCTGCGAAACTGTCGCCACTTTCGAGGGCTGCTGGTCGGTCCAATGAAGTCAGGCACCGCGCGGACCTGAGCGGGACCTCGCCGTCCCTGGGGGGCTGCGATCTGCAACGCTGTCGCCACTTTCGAGGGCTGCTGGTGGGTCCTGCGGAGTGAGGCACCGCGCGGACCTGAGCGGGACCTCGCCGTCCCTTGGGGGGCTGCGATCTGCGAACTGTTGCCACTTTCGAGGGCTGCTGGTGGGTCCTGCGGAGTGAGACACCGCGCGGATCTGAGCGGGACCTCGCCGTCCCTGAATGGCTGCAATCTGCGAAAACGTCGCCACTTTCGAGGGCTGCTCGTGAGTCCTGCGGAGTGAGGCACCGCGCAGATCTGAGCGGGGCCTCGCCGTCCCTGGGGGGCTGCGATCTGCGAAACTGTCGCCACTTTCGAGGGCTGCTGGTGGGTCCAGCGGAGCGAGGCACCAGGCAGATCTGAGCGGGGTATCGTAATCCTTGGGTGGTTGCGAGCCTTTCGAATGCCGCTCGCAGAAGTATTTGCGCCTGCGTCACCTCATCACCTCCGTATAACGTCTCCCAAGCTACTCATGCCCCGCATTACGCAGGGGTTGGGTACGTCGCCAGGGTAAGTTGCTGTTTTTTTTTCTCATTTGTTTTTCGTGTTCCAACGTCACATCCGAGGCTCCTCCGTCTGTGCCGCCTGCACGCCGCCCTCTCAAAGGCCTCCTAGATGGGGTCCAAGTAAGTGGGGTCGGAGGATCACGCCGCATCGCCGATGCATCGGCGATGCATCGTCGATGCATCGGCGATGCATCGGCGATGCACCAGCCATGCATCGTCGACTTGGGCGACGCATCGGCGACGTCGATGTGAAGCAAATCGGGCTCCACACCGGGCCGCATCGGCGATGCATCGGCGAGGCGGTGCGACCTCCGAGCCCATCTACTCGGACCACATCTAAGGGGCCTCACAAAGATGGGGCCCAGGACTCCCGTGACGATTTTCTGCGATGCTTTTTTTTGTTCGGGGGCGGCCGAGAGGGGGGCGTCCAAGAGGGGGAAGCGCAAACCATGGCCGTCAGAATGTGCGCGGCCCAAGGGGGGGCCAGGGACGTGTTGAAATAAGAAGAGGCGCCATGACATCTGGGGAAAGATCATGGCCCCCGCAATGAGATCCCCCCTTTCTGCCGCCCTGGAATCTAGGAGACCTAAATAAAGATGGGGCCTGGGACTCCGGGGGTGATATCTTGCGATGTTGCTTTTTTGGGGCAACGTCAGATCTGAGGCTAGGTCGGGCGTCCCCCTACACGCGGATGTTGGGCGAAACAGAAAAGATAATCAAAACATGCCCAAGAGTGGTAAACAACATGCAACAAATCGTCCCCAGACTATGATTCGACTCCTTTAGAGTATTCCTCCTGTAGAGGGACGTGCCCGACATAAATCTGCGGATGAGAAAACATAATAACCAATCAAGTCAAACAAATACCCCAGTGCGACCCTACCTAGAGGTTGGAGCCCCTAGGACACCAGCATTAGTTGCTATGCTATGCTATGCTATGCTATGCTATGCCATGCTATGATGCGCTATGCTATGCTATGCTATGCTGTGCTATGTTATGCTATGCTATGCTATGCTATGTTAAACTATGGTACGCCATGCTGCGCTGTGTTATGCTAAATTTTGATATGCTATGTTATGCTAAGCTGCGCTATGCTATGCTATGGCATGCTATGCAAAGTTATGATATGATATGCTATGTTATGCTATGCTATGCTATGCTATGCAGCGCTATGCTATGCTATGCTCAGCGAAGCTAAGACGAAGGGAACGTCACTGGGGGAACCGCGGGGCGGATACTGGGGGAACCGCCCGGGGCGTGCCCCACTGCCCGGCCCTTTAAGCCGAATAGTAAGAACCCTTCTAGGCAGAGCCTAGGTAGGGAATAATCAAACATTGGAGGAGAAAACAGAATAGCCAATCAAGTCAACAAAAAAATCAAACATGATCGAACACAAATCGTCCCCCGACTGTTTTCTGCCTATTTTTGCACCTTCCCCCTGCAGAGGGACAGGTCCGACTTGCGGGGATGGACAGACCCCCCTTCAGTAAAACGTGGTTTCGTGAAAACGACATGAGGCCCAAACCTGGCGGTCGCAAGCCTGGAAAATAACGGCCGCGGCGCCCTCTCGAGAACCGAAAACGGACAATTCACTAATCGACGTGTCACTGTTGGGGGTTCTGTCCGCCTGTAGAGGGACAGGTCCGACTTCAGTCCGAGGCTCCTCTGCCTGCGCCGCCTGCGCGCCGCCCTCCGGCGCCGCGGCGCCGGGCTCTCTCCCCGGCGCGCCCGGGCCCGCGCCCGCCTCCCGCTCGGCCCGCGCGGCCCCGGCGGCGTCCGTGCCTGCCCAGGCCTCGCAAAGATCACGACGGGAGGAGGAGGAGGAGGAGGAGGAGGAGGAGGAGGAGGAGGAGGAGGAGGAGGAGGAGGAGGAGGAGGAGGAGGAGGAGGAGGAGGAGGAGGAGGAGGGGGAGGAGGGGGAGGAGGAGGAGGAGGCCGGGACATTTTCGGCCTCCAGGGGGCCCTACCGGGCTTCGGGGCCCTCCAAAAACGGCCGCACACCGGGCCCTTGCCCCGGGAGCATCCCAAAACGACTCAAGATGAGAAGCCGGTCCCGGGGAAGGGGTCCAGACCTCTCCCTGATGGTCCGCTACCGAAAATTTCCGGTAGCGCTCCGCAGAGATCGGTCGCTACCGAAATACCGAAATGTAGCGCCCAATACCGGTATCAGAGCGTTCTGAAATCCGCTATTTCAACGCCCTCAAACGAAGATCCGGTCGCTACCGAAATTCGGGGTGCGTCGAAATCGCTACCGAAAATTTCCGGTACCAGACCATCTGGGCTGGGGGTCGACGTCGTGAAAACATCATGACGTCGGGGGTCTGGGTATGGGAGGGCCTCTCGGGCCAGGCCCAGACCTTCTCGCGTCGCAACAAAACAGGATCGCGGCGCCCAGAGATCCGACGCTCCCAAAACATTGGCCGCATCTGGGAGGCCAATCAAAAAGAAGCTCGGCCACAAGGAACCTTCCACAAGACACCCAACCCCTGAGACCCCAGGACGTCCCTTGACTTTTGGCGTGGGGACGGTCGCCCCTTCCACAGCAAAGCCATCGAAACCCAGGAAACCCAGGGCACCCTGCAGGCAAGCGGGGTGTTTCTTGGCATGGGTGTCCACTGTGTGGGAGGGCCTCTCGGGCCAGGCCCAGACCCCTATCGCGTCGTGACACCCCCCCAAAAAAAATTCGAGGCGCCCCAAATATCCGACGCGCCAACAAACTTTGGAGCAGGCGGTTTTGAACAGTTTCCGGCCTCCGGGGGCCCTCGCTAGGCATCGGGGGTGTCAAAAAACAACTCATCGGAAGCACATCCAGCCTTGGGGAGGTGGTCTGGACCTCCAGGGCACACGCATCGAAAAAAGTGGAGCAGGTCGGGCACGTCCTCCTGCAGGCGGATTTTGGAAGGAACATCACAAACAATCAAAACAGGTGCCGAAAGAGTCAACAACTAACAGAAAAGTCCTCCCCAGACTGCTGCCTTGCCACTCTCGCACCTTCCTCCTGCACGAGGGACGTGCCCGATGCGAGGCCAGACCCTGGACCCCCTCGCGTCGTGCCCCCCCCCGAGAGAACCGCGGCTCGTGAGGCGTGGTCCACGATCCGGTCGGCCTCTGGGGGGCCCTCGGCGGGCCTCAGGGGGCGACAGAACACGGCTCCCGATGTGGAGAGCCACCTCCGGGGGAGGGGGGTCCAGGCCTCTGTGAAGGGGCCCCAGGACACACAAATAAATACACGCAAACAAAAAGATTCCCCCAGATTGTTCCATATCTTCTTGGTTTTTGTCTTCCAACCCACTTCCCATATTTTCCTATATTTTCCTGGGAATCGACGATTAATGTGTGTGTTTTTCCCCTCCTGACTATGGGGGTCGACGTTGTGAGAAAAGCATGGCGTCGAAGGTCTGGGGCTGATGGGCTCGGAGAATCGCGCCGCATCGCCGATGCATCGCCGATCCTCGCCGATGCATCGGCGATGCATCGGCGATGCGTCGGCGACGTCGGCGGTGCATCGGCGCCGTCGCCGTGAAGCGAATCGTGCTCCGCATCGCGACGCATCGCCCACGCATCGGCGGTGCGGCGCGGTTTCCGACCCCATCAGCTCTGACCCCACCTGGGAGGCCTATAGAATAAGAGCTCGACCACAAGAAACCTTCCACAAGAAACCCAACCCTGAGACCCCCAGACATCCGTTGATGTTTGGTGCGGGAGCGTCGCGCTTTCCACATCGCAAAACCATCGAAACCCAAGAAACTCAGGGCACCCTGGAAGCAAGCAAGGTGTTTTTTGTTGGCATGGGCTTCCACTTTAGAGGCATGAGCGGAACCTTTCGGAGGTCCGCACCCAGACATGCTCGCGCCGTGGAACAAAAATCACGGGGCGCGGTTGTTCTGGCTGTTTTTGTTCGGCCTCCGGGGGGCCCTCGCCGGGCCTTGTGGAGCCTCAGGAAACGACTCGGGACGCACAACTGGCCTAGGGGATCGCTCGGACGTGTGCATCTTTCTCGGCGAGGATCATCGAGGAGCATCCTGGGTCATCTTGCGAAAAAAAACACGCACGACACCGATAACTGCACTGGGTATAGACGTCCGAACGACGGCGAGGGCACTGGGGAAAGGGTCTTCCGGGGACCCCGTATGGAAAGAACAGGACATCGCATGCCTGGCCGTGGGCTTCCCGCACTTCTTGACTCGGCGATCGGCGATCGTGAGGCTGAGCGACTGTGGGAGACTGGCCCAAGAGGGGGGGGGGGCGAGGGGCCGGACACATCGACCTTTTTGTTGGGTTTCTCATTTTTTGAGGGGGGAGTCCCGAAACGGTGCGGTGACAGACCGTGCGGTGAACTCGAGATCCCCCAAGACGCAATACCCCAAATCGTGCGGTCACCCCGGATCCATACCTACTCACCACACGGTGTGGTCGCCCCCCCGTTAGGGGACCTCTGACTTTTTTAGGGGCAACATCGACCTGCAATCGGCGGTACATCACCGACAGATCGGCGACAGGCCACAGAAGAAATTGTGAGCGTCCGAGGAGGCAAACATAATGACACGAGCAGGAACGGTCGGTCGTTGAGGCCCGCGCGAGCTTCCTGGATCTGGCGCTGGACCCTCCCTCGGTGGTCCAAAGATGTGGTCCTGAGGGCTGGGGACCTAAGGAGCTTCGAAGGGGCTGCCGAAAGGCTTAGTCGCTGCGGCGCTTCTTGACCGGCGCCGGAAAGAGCTCCCGGGCTACCCTGCGCTGCCTGACGCGGCTTGAGGCACCTCGTCCTTAGGACCCCGCCCCTCAGGACCCCATCTCGGAACCACCGACTCCTGGCGGGTCCAGCGCAGATCCAAGAAATCCGCGCAGGCTTCCGACAACTGAGCGGGCGAAGAACGGTACTGACGAAAGAAACTTTTCTGCCGTCGGGGACGCCTGCCCCATGTCGGCTGGAAAGTATATACGCCGACGTGCCACTGCAGGGGTAGAAACTTTCCAGCCGCCCTGGGGCAAAGGTCCTCGACGGCGCAAAAGTTTATGCTATATCGTTCTTTGCCTCTAAACAATATATGTATGTGCCGCTGCTCTTCTTCGAGCGCCAGTGCCGTCGTGGTGGTTCGGCAGGAGGTCGTCCGCGTCAGGCAGCGAGGAGGCCTCGGACTGCATCCGGAGGAGCTGCATGCTGGTGCTCGCCGCAGCTGCGCCAGCCGCCCCTGCGGCTCCCGGAGGCTGGGCGCCATCGTCGCCGAGGCTGTCAGCCGCAGGGGGTGGACCAGCGCGGGCGCTGGACTCGTCCTCGGAGGCGCATGCTGCCGCGTCCGTGCTGCTTCTGTGGCCCACGCTGTCCAGCTGCTTCGTGCCGTCCTTTTCGGCCATCTCCTTCGAGACGATGTTGGCGAAGTGGCGGTAATCTATGAACTCTTTCCCGCTCGTGTCGACATAGTTGTTGATCGTCGCCCTGAACTCGTCGCCCAACAGGGTGTGCATGTCGTCCTCTTTGATGAAGCCGTCGCCAACTGTGTCGATAGCGCGGAAGGCCTCCCGTATAGCTGCTGTGTTGTTGGCCATGCGCCTCGCTTTCGTCAAATTGATGAACTCGTTGTAATTGACGGGTCGCCTACGCCCCCGCCCGTCGGCGCCTTGCCCAGGATCGTTTCCAGGCGGGTTGCCTGCGATGCGGTCGAAAAACGACTTTTCCTCAATAGAATCAGAATTCAACGTTTCCTTAATCGCCTGGATGAAGAACTCCGCGCCAATGCTGCCGGAATTGCTTTCATCGTGGCTCCTGAAGCGCTGCTCCAAGAGAACCAAATCCCCCTCGCGGCCACCAAAAGACGTCGTGCACCACTGGGCGAGCATGCCAGCAGCTGCCTTGGTAATCGCGTTGTTCTGCGCGAACTTCCACATGTCGCGAACGACCCCCCGGTCGATCGGCAGTTCGAGCTCCGAATCGGGTCCGCCCTTTGGCCAGCTCAACAGCTTCGGCTGGGTCTCCATCTTCAGCCAAGCGTGCTGTGCGGCCTCAGCAGCTGTCAAGCGCTCGTACGGGTCCTTGCGGAGCATGGACCTTACGAAATGCTTGGCCGTCTCGCTGATGCCCTCCCAACGCCGGCTGCTGGATTGAAAACGACCGTTCCGGATCTTCTGCATGACGTCAGCGTCTGTCTTCCCATCGAAAGGTGGGACTCCGCTCAGGAGCATGTACACAATCCGCCACCGTGCCTGCACGGCAGCCGCGTGTTGGAGTGCTTGTCTGTTGTCTGGCAGGGCTTCTGCCGTGCGTCACGTGTCGCTCCCCACCCCCCCCGTGCGACACTCCTCAAAAGATTGCCCCTGTTGGTCTTGCTCTCTGGCGTCTCTTTCGGCCTCTGGACGGCCTCAAGACAGCTTGCGGCCGCCTCACACCAGTTGCAAGACCACATAAGACCATTCAAAGCCGAACTAGCCCCCACTTGCTCCAAGCTCTCCCCCGAAAGTCCCAAGACGCGCCAAGACGCCTCCAAGGAACGCCCAAAGAGACCTTCAGCGAGGCAATGAGAGGCAAGACATCAACACATGGCTGGGAACACACACACACACACACACACACACGCACGCACGCACGCACGCACGCACGCACGCACGCACGCACGCACGCACGCACGCACGCACGCACGCACGCACGCACGCACGCACGCACGCACGCACGCACGCACGCACGCACGCACGCACGCACGCACGCACGCACGCACGCACGCACGCACGCACGCACGCACGCACGCACGCACGCACGCACGCACGCACGCACGCACGCACGCACGCACGCACGCACGCACGCACGCACGCACGCACGCACGCACGCACGCACGCACGCACGCACGCACCCGCACGCACGCACGCACGCACGCACGCACGCACGCACGCACACGCACGCACACGCACACACACACACAACACAACACAACACACACACACACACACACACACACACCACACACACACACGAACACACACACACACACACACACACACACACACACACACACACACACAACACACACACACACACACACACGACACACACACACACACACACACACACACGACACACACACACACACACACACACCGCACACACACACACACACACACACACACACACACACACACACACACACACACACACACACACACACACACACACACACACACACACACACACACACACACACACACACACACACACACACACACACACACACACACACACACACACACACACACACACACACACACACACACACACACACACACACACACACACACACACACACACACACACACACACACACACACACACACACACACACACACACACACACACACACGCGCGCGCGCGTGCGCGCGCAAAATGTTTGTTTGCCGAAGCGCTTCGGCCCAACATCTCTGCGGCGAGCCTCGAGAAACCTTCAAGAAGCCCTCGAGACGGCCCAAAAGCGCTCCAAGACTGGTCGAGAACCCCCACCAAGATGGCTCAAGAAGGCTCGCAAACGCCCCCGAGACCCGATCGTGCAGCAAGCCTGTTCAGAAGAGCTCTGTGAAACAATCGCGCCCGAGATGGCCCCCGAGACCTCCGATGGGCCCTCGACGGGCCCTTAAGAGGCTCCCAGAAGGGCCCCAAGGCCCCAAGAGGCCTTGAAGAGGCCCACAAGACGCTTCCAACATGCTGCCAAGAGGGAGTAGGGGTGAGGAAGAACGCGGGAGGGGAAGGAGAAGGAGGATTATGAGGATGAAGGAATGAGAAGACTCGCTGCTGAGATTGAGGAGGGGGCGATGAATCACCTGCGCCAGCCCAGACATAGCGCTAAACTGGAGCAAGTCTTAAACTCAACCTCCTTCCGACTGCGCTGCTGCGCTGGCACGGTGGCGTGGCTTGCCGCAGGCAGCTGGATAACACCCACTGACCACATGTCGCATGGCAGCCCGTACGAGCCTTCCAGAACTTCTGGGGCCACGTAGAACAACGAGCCCAAGGTGGCAGTGAGCTGCACTGACGGCTCCACAATCTGGCCAAAACCGAAATCGCATAACTTTAGCTTGGCCTCTGAGGTGTTGTCCTCGTACAACCAATTCTCCAACTTTAGATCCCTGTGGCAGATGTTCTGCGTGTGCAGATAAGACACCGCGTCCAGCATTTGCCGCGCAACCCGCGCAGCATCGAATTCGGAGTACCACCTTCGTTCAGCTAGACGCTCGAAAAGCTCCTTGCCTGTGCAGAGCTCCATAACAAGCAGGACAGCCTGGTCCACCTCTGACTCGTAGACCTCCAACAACTGCACGATGTTTCTATGTGAGACTTGAAGAAAAATCCGAACCTCCGAGACAAGCATCTGTCTCCTCTGCTCCGAGAGGTTGTGGCAAGAGATCCGCTTGACGGCCACCTCGCGCCCCGTCTTCCTGTGCAGCGCCATACGCACGGGGCCGTTGATGCCCTCGCCGAGGATGCCCCTGTCGCCGGGCACGAGCTCGTACATCTGCTGGAAGGTCTTGTCCGCGATGATGCGCGACGACTCCACGATGTTCCGCTTGATCTCGCTGAGGACGCGCCGGACCCCTCCGGTCTCCGGACCTCTCTTGACGCCGTCGCCGTCCGCGGCGGCCGCCTTCTCGCCCGCGGTGGCCTGGGGGGTCAGCGCGGGGCGGTCGGTGAACGACCTTTCCCCCCTCGGCTTGACCATGGGGCCGACTCGCGCCTCCTGCCCCGAGCTCTCGAAGGCGTTCCGCGACGTGACCCGCACGGGCCGAGAATCATCCCCAGTCGTTGCACCGCTCTGCGTGTGCAGGTCGGAGGACGGCGCGGAGGACTTGAGGTCCCAGGCGCTGGGGATGTCCTCCGTCCCCGTGGCAGCACTGGCGCTGCTGGCACTCCCGCAGCTCCCTCCGCCGCGCTCTGGGAGCCGGTCGGACGAAGGAAACGCTGGCGGCAGCTCCGAGTCCAGTGCCTCTGGCCGCGACGCTCCGCGGGGGACGCCCCTCTCGGGGTGCCTCTGCTGCAGGTCCTCGCAGCTCTTGGCCAGCTCCGGGCTCCCGAGCGTCTGCGCGGCCACCCGCAGCATGGGCAGCTCCCCGTCCCTGACGAAGAGGGTCGGGTGCTGCCAGGAGTGGCCCTGGGCCAAGGTGCCCCCATATGATTTCCGAGGAGGCCCCCCACGGTTGTGGATGGGGGGAGGAGGAGGAGGAGGAGGAGGAGGAGGAGGGGGAGAGGAAGGAGGAGGAGGAGGAGGAGAAGGATGAGGAGGAGGAGGAGGTGGCCCAGGGGGCGCCAGGGGCTCCAAAAATGGAGCGGAAGCTGGGGGCACCTTGGGCCAGGGGCGCCTTTGGCAACCCCCGAGATGGGCTTGCCGTACAGGTGGCACAGCAGCGCGTTCATGATGGCGTAGTCGCCATACATGCGAGCCGTGACGTCCACCACCCCTGGCAGTCTCGCGACATCCTAGAACAGCAAGCAAAAACGTCGTGACCATCAACTTTCGGAGCTCCGCGCGGACTTTTGCTGCTGGATCCGCGCTGCGCCCCCCGCCCCGGCGCGCGGAGCGCCGGGGACGGCGCCGCAGGCGCCGCCGGGGGGGCCCCAGCGCCGATCCAAGAACTCCGCGCGCACCGTCGAACGTAGACGTTTTCGTGTGTCCTTTCCTTAGTGGGCCCCAGAAACGGCAAGGCCGTTTTTTCACCGTTTCCAAAAACATGTCCCTTGAAAATGGAAACGGTAAAAAAAACGGCGTCCGGAGACGGGAAAAAAACGGCCCCAGGATTGGAACCGGGGCCGGAGCCGGTCAAAAAACGGCCACGGAACCGGTAAAAAAGCGGCGTCGGAACCGGCAAAACAGCGGCAAAACGGAGCCGGTAACAAAAACGGCCCTGTCGTTTCCAGGGCCCACTAAGGTCCTTTCTTGCCCCTCGATCTCCGTTGGAGGAGCCTCCCCGGGCCGCCCGCCGCCGGTGCCAGGCGCCGCGGGCGCCGCCGGGTCCTGCGGGGAGGGGCTGCGGAGCGGGCGGCAGGCGTCCGGAGCCGGCGGGCCGCGGCCGGAGGACTCGACCCAGCTCAGGGCCGCCTGCCGCAGCTCGCGGCTGGGCGGCTCCAGCCTCTTGCCATCGCTCGGACGTGCATTCTGCGAGGCTTGGGCGACCAGTCCTCCTCCTCCTCCTCCTCCTCCTCCTCTCCTCCTTCCTCCTCCCTCCTCCTCCCTCCCTCCTCCTCTCGTCCTCCTCCTCCTCCTCCGCGTCCTCCTCCCTCCTCCTCCTCCTCCTCCTCCTCCTCCTCCTCCCCCTCCTCCTCCCCTCCTCCTCCTCCTCATCCTCCTCCTCCTCCTCCTCCTCCTCCTCCTCCTCTCTTCCTCTCCGCCTCGTCTCCGTCGTCGTCGTCGTCGGCGTCGTCGTTGTCGTGGTGCGTGTTGCTCTGCTCGGGATTATGTTTCCCTTCTGCAGTGACCACCACCACCCTCCTCCTCCTCTCCTCCTCCTCCCCCTCCTCTCCTCCTCCTCCTCCTCCTCCTCCTCCTCCTCCTCCTTCCTCTCCTCCTCCTCCTCCTCCTCCCCTCATCCTCCTCCTCTTCCCTCATCACCCTCAGGCGGGACCTTAACCATGTCCACCGCCTGGGAACCGACGCCCTGGTGCCCCAGCGGGCGGTGGAGATGGATCTACTTCGGCCCCCGGGGGCCCGAGGGTGTCCGCGTCCACCGCCTGCCGAGGCTCCGAACACTGACCCTCCAGGCGGTGGATAGGGACAAATTCCCGCCTCGGACCTTCCCCTCGCACTGTGTTTGGTCACGTGCGCGGTTTCTTACTCGGGGTGGTCCAGGCTGTTCCCAGAAGGCACGTCTGCTCTCTGGCGCTGGCTCCGCCGACGGCGCCAAGAGAAAAGAGGGCGCACGTCCGAGCGATGTGCCGAGGCCTCCGCAGCTGCTCCCGGAAGCCCGGCCACGCGGCCGCCACCAGCACCCGGTGCGCGCCGATGAACTCCTGGGGCCCGCGCACCCGGAAGACCACGTCCACGAAGTCGGCGCTGAGCAGGGAGGAGAGCCCCTCGGAGAGCGTCTGCCAGCGCGACTCCGTGAGGCACGGGGGCACCAGGAGCTGGCTCGGCTGCCGCACCACCACGGGCGCAGGGTGCTCCGCTGCGGGGGGATCGGCAGAGGGAGCGGTGGCCGCCGGGGCTCTGGGCCGCAACCTGCCGTGGCCACCGCCAGCCTCGCGGGGCTCGCCAGCACCGCTGTACTCGGTGCTCATGGCCTCGCAGAGGTTGCCCGCCGGGGGTTCCCACCCACGAAGCGGCTCTGCAGACCACCAGCGGCTAGCTGGGCAATGTAATTACGATGGGCCCAACCCGCACGGGGTGGGGATCTGAGTAAACTTGGACCACAAAAGGTACAGATGCGGCGGGGCGATGTGGGAATGGAATGTGGGAGAGACGGCGAGAGAGAGAGAGAGGGAGGGAGAGAGGGAGGGAGAGAGGGAGCGGGATAAACACTCAGAGAGAGAGAGAGAGAGAGCGAGAGAGAGAAAGAGAGAGAGAGAGAGAGAGCTAGGATGTGAGGACGACGACAACGAACGACGACGAGCTACGAAGACGATGACGGATGATGCACGACGACGAAGACGACGGTTGACAACGACGAGTGCCGAACGACGGCGCGTGAGGAGGCGGTCGGCGAGCGACGGCGACGAATGACGCACTGAGGCCGTAAGTAGAACTTCCTGTGGGCCAATCTCCGCGCGAGTGGTTTGCCGAAGTGAGCTGGGCCCCGCATGCGAGCACCGCCACCGAGGCCACAGGTGAAGCTCCCCGCAAGGCACGATCCGCATGGGTATGCAAGACTTGGCGGGGCCACATGCGTAAAGAATCAATGGTTTGTGCATGATCAGCTGGATCGTCAAGAGAATTAGCCAGTGTGGATCCCAACAACGGTTTCTTGCATGCCATGCGGCGCAATCCAGGTGGTGCAATCAATGTGGTGCAATCTTGGTCGTGCAATCCGTGTGGTCCAAAATCGGATCTACGCGGTGCAACGCAAATGCAAGACAGCGCGCAGCAGTCTCAAGCAATGCAATGATATGCAAGCAAGTGTGAAGCACAAAGGAAAGCAGTGCACGGCAATCCAGACCAGTGCAGCGCAGTGTCACGCAATGCTACGCAGTGTAATGCAATGCAGACGCAAAGTACACCAATGCATCGTAATGCAGTGCAACACTTTTGAGCCACTGCGAAGCACTGCAAACTGCGAGCCGCGCACAGCCAACATCGTGACCAACAGTTGGTGCGGCGGACGGCCGGCGGCAACGGGCGGCCATCACAAGCTGGCCGACCCCGAGCACGGTCCCGGTTGCGAGCCTCGCACAATCAAAAACGTGACGAAAGGAGTGCGGAGATGGGGGGCGGCGACGGGCGGCGACAGTCGGCCACAAGCCGGCTGGACCGACGCACAGGCAAGGTTCCTCTTGAGAGGAGCAAGGACCCCTGAGTACAAGCCCTGATCGGGGAACTGGTCGGTTCGAGGACAACAAGAGATTGGTTCCGTTACTGCGCGAGGGTCAGAACCATCTTCTTTCATCCGCGACATTGTTGCAGTGCCGGGCCCTGCGAAGCACAATCCACATCCTATCCCCTTTTCGTCTCAACACTGCCGTTTGTCTTAAGCACTGGAGTCCTGCGGCACTGGACTCGTCGCCCCCCTCCTATCTGCTATAATGCTCCTGCTTGTTTGCGCTATTACTTACCGAACGTGCTCCCAGGTGTTTCTCACCACACTGATTGTTCGGCTCGGTTGGGAACATGGTTGACCTCTCTACGCACTGCTAAAAGATTTCAGCGTTCCCGTGCCGAATATCGCCTCCTAGTTGTTGCGTCCCTGGGACCCTTTTCGGTCCCCACGCAGCTGTAAGGTGGCCCAGGACTGCTGCAAGACGGATACGATACGTTCAACGGCCAGCCGAAGACGGCCTAACGATCCCTGCAAGTTTCAATCTGCCCCCAGTACAAGAGGGGCTCGACCACAAGAAACCTTCCACAACAACCCCAACCCTGAGACCTCAAGACGTCCATCGATTTGTTTTGGTGTGGGAGCGTCACGCTTTCCATCGTAGAACCATCGAACCCCCATAAAACCCATGGAACCCCAGAGGCGAGCAGGATGCTTCTTGGCACGGGTCTCACCTGTCGGCCTCAGGAGGCGGCCTAAGAGGCCTCCAGGCGGAGGCCAGAAAAGACGGAGAATAGCGCCGCCCTGACGCCACTGAGGAGGAGGAGGAGGAGAAGGAGGAGGCAGAGAAGGATGAGGGGGAGGGGAAGGGGGAGGAGGAGGAGGAGGAGGAGGAGGAGGAGGAGGAGGAGGAGGAGGAGGAGGAGGAGAGGAGGAAAGAGGAAGGAGATGAGGAGGAGGAGGGAGGAGGAGGAGGAGGAGGAGGAGGAGGAGGAGGAGGAGGAGGAGGAGGAGGAGGAGGAGGAGGAGGAGGAGGAGAAGGGAGGAGGAGGAGGAGGAGGACAGGGAGGAGGACAGGGAGGAGTTGGAGGAGGAGCTGGGTTGAACCCAACCTTTGCAGGAGAGCTGCGTGGCAGCACCGCGCCGGAGGCGGTCCAGAAACTCTCTGGGGCTCCCAGGCAGGACCCCCCACAGGCCACACATCATCATTCCGCACGAAACCTCGAAGGTGCCCTCAAGCGCGGGGAGGATGGGAGGGGAGGAGGAGTAGGGGGAGGAGGCAAGCTAGGTGCGCTCGCGTCATATCTGACGTCCTACCCCTCCCTCCCATCCCTTACCATGGCGCTGATTTTCTTTATCCGCGGACGCGTGTCGTAGCGGACCTGTGGCTCCGCGCGCGCGTGCGTAGTGGGTGTGGTGCACGTGCGTGCGTGCGTGCGTGCGTGTGTGCGTGTTTGTGGTGGTGTGGTGGTGGTGGTGGTGGGGTGGTGGTGGTGCTGGTGTGGTGGTGGTGGTGGGTGGTGGTGGTGGTGGTGGTGGTGGTGGTGGTGGTGGTGGTGGTGGTGGTGGTGGTGGTGGTGGTGGTGGTGGTGGTGGTGCGGCGCGGTGGTGGCGGGCGGATGGGCGCGCGAGAAAGAGGCCCGCGCTGGGGCGAGAACGCCATCCTGAACGACGGAGGCCAAACACCGATCCGAAAATGAGGACCACGCTGCAGCGGGAGCACGATTCGGAACGATTCGGGAGCAGAAATGAAGCTGGCGCCTCAGCGAGAGCATCATTAAAAGAAAAAACGCAGGCGAAAACCCGTTTCCCGGGAATCCTGTGTGTAAAAAAACAATACGCGGGGGGCGTTCGGCCCGAAAATGACGCCGGCGCCTCAGCGAGAGTCGTTTCCCAGGATTTCCCGGGAATCCTGTGTGTAAAAAAACAGTACGCGGAAGGTGCACAGCCATCACCCGGACGCCACCAGGGGAAGAGGGAGAGTATTTTCATATTGAGTAATTGTAGAAGGAGGAGGAGGAGGAGGAGGAGGAGGAGGAGGAGGAGGAGGAGGAGGAGGAGGAAGAGGAGGAGGAGGAGGGCGGAGGAGGCGGAGGAGAGGAAGGAGGGAAGACCAGAGAGAGGGTGTCCACGACCCGCGCTGGCCCAGGAACGGCACAGCGAAACAGGAGCGCGTGGGAGACTCAATCTCCTCTCCGCTGCGCTGTCGCGTTGGCACTGTGGCAGGGCTTGTCGCAGGCAGCTGCCTAGTTCTGGAACCCCTGTCTAAACAAAAATGGCATCTCTCTCTGGGGCGCATCGTTCACTTCCGCCGCCTTCCGCCGGCCCTTCGCCGACGGACAGATGCCAACTCCTTCGATCCCTCGACGGCGAAGGCCTATCTGTGGCGCGCCAGCTGGATAACCGCCTAAGGTCCGAAATCGCAGCCTTCCCAGCTCCAGCGGCCTCTCCATGGCAATGGGCCGCGAGATAGGTCTTGGTGTGGTCCCGCTCGGGCCGCGTCTCTGGACTGGGGGGCTGGTCGTCGCGTCGTCGCACGCAGGGTGGCAAAATGGAGGGCACTTGGTTTTCTAGCCCTGGCGCCGGCCCTACGCCCCTTTCAGGAGAGCCCAGAATCGAATCGATAAGTCGGATCTGCACTCGAAATAAATCGGATCGGCGGAAATCGGCAGCCGAGTCCGGAAAAGTCGAATCGGCGGAAATCGGCAAGC